GGGTGGGTGTGTTCCATAGTGTGAGGGAAGGGGTGGATGTGTTCCAGTGTGAGGGGGGTGGGTGTTTTCCACAGTGTGAGGGGAGGGGTGTGTTCCAGTGTGAGGGAGTGTGGGTGTGAGGGAGGGGGGGGTGTGTTCCATAGTGTGAGGGGAGGGGGTGGGTGTGTTCCATGGTGTGTGTGGGGGGAGGGGTGTTCCATAGTGTGAGGGAAGGGGTGGGTGTGTTCCATAGTGTGAGGGAGGGGGTGGGTGTGTTCCATAGTGTGAGGGAGGGGGGTGCGTGTGTTCCATAGTGTGAGGGGAGGGATTGGGTGTGTTCCATAGTGTGAGGGAGGAGAGGTGGGTGTGTTCCATAGTGTGGGGAGGAGCGAGGTGGGTGTGTTTCATAGTGTGAGGGGGAGGAGCGAGGTGGGTGTGTTTTATAGTATGAGGGGAGGAGTGAGGTGGGTGTGTTCCATAATGTGAGGGGGAGGAGCGAGGTGGGTGTGTTCCATATTGTGAGGGGAGGGGGTGTGTTCCAAAGTGTGAGGGAGGAGGAGTGAGGATGACATAGTCTATTTAAAACGAAGGTTGTACACGTTATGACTCACCTGAAAGAGTTTGGGTCCACCTGTGTATCCCTTAATGACCGACACCTTCGGAACTCTGCCTCCTCAGTCACATTCTCCTTCCTCTTTCTCCTTCCTCCTCCTCCTTCTCATTCCTTAGCCTCTCCTTCACCCTCTTCCTTCTTCCTTAGCCTCTCCTTCCCATCCCATCTCATAACCTACCCTCCCTCCTTTCCTACCGCCCATATATTCCCTCGCCCATGTTGGTAGCCGGCCCCCTTTTACCGTTCTGTCTGCTGACCCTACCGCTTTGTCTGCTGCCTCTCTTACCGTTCTGTCTGCTGCCCCTTTTACCGTTCTGTCTGCAGCCTTTACCGCCTTGTCTCCTGCCCGCCCCCTACCCTTATACCCGCTGCCCCTACCCTTATACCTGCTACCCCCTATCCCTGCTACCCCCTATCCCTGCTACCCCCTATCCTTATACCTGCTACCTCCTCCTCCTCACCATACATCAGGAACGGAGGTAATAAACACACTGACTCGACACAATAATGACACCATGGTTATCGCCTGAAACACTACACCCGGCAGCTCATATATATTACCCCTCTATATATCGCTCACTGTAAGTTATGTGTTTCTCATATAGTAGTGTTGGTTGTTGCTATAGGGAGATAAAACGACCCTATAGGAGGATTTAAAACAACGCGATAGGAGGATTTAAACCCGATAGGATAATTTAAAATAACCCGATAGGACCATTTAAAATAACCCGATAGGACAATTTAAAATTACCCGATAGGACCATTTAAAATAACCCGATAGGACCATTTAGAATAACCCGATGGGATGGTTTATACAGCCCGATAAGGACAATGTGCGAGCAGCCCAGTGGAGGTGAAGTGGGGATGTGTAATGGTAGTCAATAGTGTGGGGTCGTCAGTATTGTGGGGAGCGGGGTCAAAGTATGGTAGTCAAAGTGAGAGGATCATGCCCTTCTAATTATCTTATAAATACGACAAGAATCCCGTCCTGGCTTTAATTTCTCTTTAGTATTACTTTTCGTGTTATTTTTAGTTGGCTTACGAACACCGGATATGACGCATTGGGCAAGACCTCGAGGTAAAACCAAAGCCAAAAATCCTTCTAATTTTAACAACGATAAACAAATTGTCAATGGAAATATGGATTGGACATTGTACTACACCTTGCTAAACTAGACTCAGTACTTGATGATATTACTGGGGAAATACTGGGGAATTCTGGGATAAACTCGTTAAATATAATCCTAAACAAACACACTCAACCTTATTACCCTGTGAAGTAAGGGTCAAATTCGAGTAATTCATTAAATCTATGGCTGCGTGCAAAAAGGGCCAATGTCAATAAAATGCCAATTTCGTCTTAGGCCCATGTAACCCCTGAGTCGAAATTTGTTTTTATGTTTTTTGACATTGGCCCTTTTTGCACTCAGCCAGAGATTTAATGAACAACTTGAATTTGACCCTTACTTCACAGGGTAATAAGGTTGAGTGTGTTTGTTTAGGAGACTGTTTCTGAGAGTACACACAAGGAGGCGCTACAGCCCATAAATGTTACTTATAAACTAACAACCACGTTTACTTGACACCTGACACGACACCCTGACATACGACACACCACACCCGACACCCGACACACGCTACACCACACCCGACACACCACACCCGACACACCACACCCGACACACCACACCTGACTCACGACACCACGACACATAACACCTAACACACGACACTCGACACCCCCGACACCTGACACACGACACCCAAGAGGAGGAGGACTCGTGAGGAAGACAAACCCGGAAAACTCGGGTCTCATACACAACATTTTTTTCGACAAACTTGTGCAGTCTGAATACAAAGAGACGTTTTAAGACACCAACCAGTAGCGTACCTGAATGGTGAGGAAGACGAGGTAGGGTGGGTGGGAAGGGGTTAAATTGGGGGTGGGGAGGGGTTAAATAGGTGGGTGGGGAGGGGGTTAAGTGGAGTGGGGAAGGGGTTAAATTGAGGTGGGAAGGGGTTAGAAATTGGGGGTGGGAAGGGTGAAATTGGGGGTGGGAAGGGGTTAAATTGGTGGGTGGGAAGGGTTTAAATTGGTGGAGTGGGAAGGGGTTAAATTGGGGGTGGGGGTGGGAGAAAGGTAACTTGGGGGGGGCAACTTGTGAGCTGAGTGAGGGAATCTACATTTAAGAATTCACTACAAGAAGGTCTAACCTAACCTAACCTAACCTAACCTGGTGTAAAAGGGTGTGGTGTAGCCTAGGAAGGTGTGATGTAGAAGGGTGTGTTGTAGGAGGGATGGGGTGTAGGATGAATGTGGTGTAGGAGGGTGTGGTGTAGATAGTGGTGTAGCTTAGGAGGGTGTGGTGTAGGAGGGTGTGGTGTAGATAGTGGTGTAGCTTAGGAGGGTGTGGTGTAACTTAGGAGGGTGTGGTATAGGAGGGATGTGATGTAGGAGGGTGTAGTATAGGAGGGATGTGGTGTAGGAAGGTGTGGTGTAGGTAGGGGCGGGGGATACAAGGGTAGACGGAGAGTGAGTAATGAGCGGTAGACAGTATACAAAAAGGGGAGATATAGATAGACGGGGTAGACAGAGGATGAGACAGACAGATATAGCCAACCACAAGGCTCAGCTGGCCAGAGATGAGGCACGTGGACCTGCGACGTCACGCGGGGGCGGGACTGGGGCAGGGTTACTGGAGGGGGCAGGGCTAGGGAGGGGCGGGGCTGAGACAGAATCGGAGCAAGTTTGAGGTAGGGCTAAGACTAGACTAGGGAGAGGCTGGGTACGGGTTTGAGGGGGAAATGGGGCTGGGGAGGTGTTGGGATGGGGTAGTGCTGGGATGGGGCTGGCACAATGTTGGGATATGGTTGAGACAGTACGTTGGTGGGGCTGCCGCAGGGTTAAGGAAGAGCGGAGTTGGGGCTGACCTTCCGTGGTTATCAGCCCCCAGTAACGGAGATGTACAGCTGGGGACAAAATTCCTTCAACACTCTTGGCAACATCAAGCATTTACACCCATCAAAAATAGGTATCGCGACCCTTGAGTCAGATAGAAATCAGGAGAGGTGAATACAGACACAGGTGTATGTGAGGGATTGGTGCCTCTGACTACACTGACCAAATATCACGTGATTGAGACTAATGAAATATGACCAATTCTAACATTTGCTTTGAGGTAAACAGTGAATTGGTCTGTAGTGTTTTATTGAATAGTTAGGTTGTTATTGGTGGTATATAGTAGGAAAGGATTGTTTAACACCTTAACAGTACAGTTGCCATATCCCACAGACAGGAAGATGTATTTAAGAGAAAACCAACATGTAGTAAAAGAGGGTGACTGAAGTAATTAAAGAACATGTGGTATTTCTTCTCTACCCTTTAACGAGTTAGATAATATCGAAACATGAATCATTGTCTTGGTTCGTGGGGTTCATTATGGATTCGACTCGTATGTAATCGAAACCAAATTGATATATGGAAGACAGACACAGAAACAAAACATACAAGGAGACTCGTTAAATGATTCGTAACTCTTACATAAGTATCTGGTAAGGAGAATATAGACATACCAGTTGATCATCATACTTAGTGTTTGTCATAATATTTCATCCTGTGTTCCAGAAAATAAAATACAGCAAGGGTCACGATACTTTTTTTGCTGGGTGTATGTGGGCGAGGGGGGGGGGGTGTTGGTGGGTGGTGTATGTGGGTAAGGAAGGCGGGTGGTGATTGCAGGTGGAGGGAGATGAGTGGTGCAGGTGGGTGGTGTATGTGGGTGGAAGGCGACCTACACCACCATAAGGACATTTGCTTCAATCATCACCCGAAGTTCTTGGCTAGCAGTGTCATGTGTATAGTCCTTAAAATAAACACACACACACACACACACACACACAGGCACGCACGTAAGCATGCATGCACCTGCACATACACGCATATATATATATATATATACATACATAGTCACATAGATATGCATGCAAGCTCTCTCTTTGACACACACTCACAATAACTGACAGTGTTACATTCCTATATTACCTTAGAACAAATTAACTAACATCCACGGGGGTGTCTATAGTACCTGGCAGTGTTTTGTACATTATATCAACACTCACATTGTAGCGCTGACTCAGTGGTTAACCTGAGATCTGACACCTGATGTCTATACGTCCTTGACTGTCAGATGCATAAAACACTTAAAATTCTTGGATGATATTCACGTTAGTCTTTGCTGCTCGTTGACCGCCAGTGGTGAGCAGTGGTGGGATGAACGTGTTATGTATTGATAGCGGGTAGGAATTTTTAGTGTGTGTGTGTGTGTGTGTGTGTGTGTGTGTGTGTGTGTGTGTGTGTGTGTGTGTGTGTGTGCCAACAGGACAATAAAGAGTGAAGGTGTTCTTGCAGGTTATGTAATAAGGCCGTGGACACATCCTACACAGGATAGTGTGGCTTGGGACTCGTGCTGGCCTTGCACCTCCACCACGGCCTCGCCTCCACATTATGTTCGGATTTTTTAAGAACAAAAATAAAGACAAAGTCGTTACGAAGGATAAAAACAGTGACTCAGCTAAAGATAAGAAGAAGGACAAGGTGAACAAGGAAGACAAGGACGTGAAGGTCACCATCCGTAAGGGTAAGGAAGATAAACCTTCAAAATCGATCTTCAGAAAGAGTAAATCCATTGAGAGAATCAAGGAGGCGAACGAAGAACCACCTGTAGCAGCCAAGAAGAGCAGGACCCTTGGGGCGCGTGGCTCCGGGGAGTGGCCAGACAGTGGACATGAAGACCCACTGTGCCACAATAACGGGACAGAGGGGGAGGACTCCACACCACCGATACACAGCAGCAGTAGCAGTAGCGAGGGTGTGGCCCGCCCCTCCTCTCCGGTCCCGCCACCAGACCTGTGTCAGGGCGGCCGTGTCAAGGATGAGAAGCCGTCACCCGACCTTAAACCATCAACACACAGTGAACGAGGCTCACGTTTTAAGTACGACTGTCATGAAATAAAAAAATATGGCCAAGATGGTTCGTGGGGTGCGGCGGCGAAACAAGATACCTCTGTGACCGTGAAAGATGGAGATAAGCGGTACTTGCGGAGTGGGAGAGAAGAAAGTAAAGCGACGAGCAGGACAAAACCCGACATACTCCTGACCAAAAGTGAACGAGTGTCTGGTGGTGCCACGCCACTAGTGATGAAGCCGCCCCTTAACCCCAGGATGGTGGCACCCCGAGGACCCCTTGCTAGCTCGCCTCACGCTGTCTCTGGGTTTACTCACGTACTGTCACCAGATGTTACGGCTGTTGAGAAGGATGACAGCCGCTATACGCCTTCTCCAGGTCTGGCGACACCGCCATCGTCGCCTGGACTGCCGTCTGCTCAGGCTGTCCCACCCTACCCGATTGTCACGGGGCCACCTTCACGACCCACCTCTCCTGACGGCCGGGCCTCAATGCTCTCAACTCCTTCCAGCTCAACCTCAAGTCTCTCCAGCTTATCTGCCAGACCCATATCCCCCTCCGGGCGCCGCACACCCCCGGGGCCTCGCATGGGCACTGGTGGCAGACTAACCTCATCCCCGACGCCCGGACGTAAAGCAGTGCGGACAAATATCAAAACCAACCCAGCAGTTGTCTCTCGTCGAGCTGGCTCACGGTCACCCGTCAACCCGTCTCCTTCACCGTCACCATCATCAACCGATACTGTCATCCCCTTTATTGACGGTGACAAGCTCAAAACTCCACCGTCTTCCCCGGACACCGCCAGACATCTCCCCCAGGACCAAGTGTGTCCGAGTGACTCAGGAGTGTCGAGTGATCTCCCTTCACCTCATGTAACCGATGCTGAAGTAAAACAGAGATCTCCTCCTCCTCCCCCAATAGTCCCTGAACCTATAGTATCGCCTCCATTGATAATAGTCAAAACCAAAGCCCCGCTACCTTTAGCGACAGTTAAGCCAAGATTAAGTTCGTCACCGTCGCCACCACCAAAGGGTAATTTGTCCAGTGAAGTAAAACCAGAGACGGGCGGCAAACTGACCCCTAGAAGCGTGTCTCCTACGGCTGGTAAATCTCGGCATTCCATATCGTCCATGCATTCCCTGGAGTCGATACCAGAAAATGACAGCGAAGGACAAACATCTTCAACTGATACTTTGGAGAAAAATCGCAAAGCCAAAGGGACTGTTGGATCAAAGTCGTCCCATCCATTATCGCCTGGCAGAGAGAGTAAGGAGTCGGCCAGCAGCGGGGTCATCAATTTTTCAGCTCGACATTCAGTCCCAGAAGTGTCGTCAGGTGGCCAACATCACGGTGTCGTATCTCATAAGAGATCCTCTTCACTAACGCCAGTCAATGAAGAAAAGCTCTTACAGTGTTCAGCAGCAACCATTGAGTCTTCAGTCAATCCCCAAGTGAATGTGTCGACTACTGCAGGTACCTGCCATAACGGACCTGTTCGTGATGCTTCAGGAAAACTGGATAATAACACCTTGGAATATAACAAAGGCAAAGATATTTCATATAAAAATGAAAAGAAAGACGAAAACCACGATAGGTCGCCGTCGAAGGAGCAAACGGGGGGAGAAATCCTTACGGGGAACTTAAAAAATGCTCGACCTCGGACACCACAATATGGTGTGGTGTCCTCACAAAGATCTTCCTCACAGTCGCCTGTAAAGGATGGTTCCTCCCTCGGTTGTGGTAAAGTGTGTGGAGGAGATAGCGAGAAAGTCGCGGTGTCTTCCTCGCCACCCAACCAGCCAATTGTTGCATCACTGGCAGCAGTCACGGAACTTGGGATAAAGAAAACTGATGTTGGCAAAACAAGAGATAATGTGATGGAGACAGATGAGGCGCGAGGGAATAAGTTTGTACAGTCCAGTGACAGTTTAAAGTCTTCAGCGTCATCTGGCGGTTCTGAAGTAGCCACTCATGTTGTGTTCCGGATTCCACTTCGTCGTTGCTCTCTAACCAATGGTGAAGAGACGGAGAAAAGAGTCTCCGTTGAAATTCTTAAAGAAGAGGAAGGGAAGAGGAGCCGTAAAGAAAAGGTACACTACAAGGAGAGACCGAGGTCAGTATCAACTTCCAGAGAGCTCAGGAGAGAGAAGTCCTCTGAACTGCTTACTAGAAGGCGATTAGCATCCGAAGGTCCTGAGGGTAAGAGTGAAAACAGCGAAACAAAAGATGGAGTGCGGGAAAGAGTTCGTCGTCGGTCATCGTCATCCATACGACGACACCGAAGTCGTGGAGAAGAGACGCACTGTGAAGAGGCGGCCAAGGCTTCCAAAACAAACAGCGATGATAAAAAAGAGGAAGATCTTGCGCCGTGGCGTAGGAGCAGCACTCGTAGTAGATCACGAGTATCGAAATCTTCAGCTGGCAAACAAGGCGCCACAAATGTCGACGAGACCAGTGACCAGAGTTCTACCGGCTATGACGCGGACCATGTCACAGACTCGTCAGACCACCACATGACGAGGTCAGTGAGCAAAGGAAGTAGAACGCGTGGAATTCAGGAAAAATCGAGCCCAGACATTGCTGGAAATGACGAGGAGAACCACTTACCTGCTACCTCAGCACTGTCCAAAGTAACCGCTCCGCCTCGCCAAAGATCCAAGTCACGAGGAGCTGAGCGGAGGATGACAAGATCAGCGACAATAAGTGAGATCAGGCGAGCCAGGGACATCGACACCAAACCAGTGTCTGCAGAGAGGGACTCAGAACCTAGACGACGAGCCCAGTCATCATCCAGAGTTCCTGACACCTCACGACACACGCGAGACGCAGACACATGTGGGACACCGCGCAGACCTGTGGAAGATGATGCTGCTGGTGTTCACAGACCTCCTAGGAGGAGATCCTTGTCCACCAAGAGGAGGAGCTCGGGCAGCCTGCGGGCGGAGAGAGAAGATATTCTCAGGCCGGATGTTACGAGGTCAAGGCCAAGTGAGAGAGTAATGGGTGTCATTAAGTCAACGAGAAGTAGAAAGGAAGAAAATGGGGACAACGTTAGGTCAAGTTCTCTTCAATTGGAGGACAACAATACTGCGAACAAGGAAATAGATAACAAGGAAACTAACAAGGAAAGCGAGACGAACACCAAGACTGAAATGGATGACTGTAATACAAAAGACGTTGACAACACCAAAGATATAATACACATCAGTGGTAACTCAGCTGAAGCTCAGGTAACGAACGATTGCTCAGTTAGGTTACGACAAAACAACCCCCACGACGAGAACACAGCAGGAAGCGAGGAGACTGCCAAGAGAAATCCTCCAGAAAACACTGAGAAAGACAGCACCAACCTGACCAGCAAGAACGTAAGGAGAAGATCGGTTCAGTTACAGACGCAAGCGATTCGTTCCGTCTCGCAGCAGTGCCAGACAGACCTACAGGACGAAGAAACACGACTCCAGCAGGAAGAACTCGACCGCATCAGGTAAAGTATTGAACACACTCACACGCACATCATCCTCTACACCAGGAATATTGTGGTGAAGTTTGGTAATGTTATCTACTATTCATTTTAATATTAATCCCAATCCATTCTGCTCAAGGAGGCACAGTTGTACAGATTCACATAGATATAATAAAAGCTTGACCAATTAATAAATAGATGAATAATGAGGTAAATGATAAAAGCTGTAAATAGTCCATAAAACATCCAGGTTACAATGCTTACAATATGACCAACGTGTTTTCAATCATTTTTTTCTCTGAATATATGCCGCTGCTTTGACAACTGATGGGACAGTGTTACCAATTAATAATAATACCCTGTAATTAATGAGTTATTTATAGCCTCGACTCCCACTCTTATAACATAGTGTTTGTTTAAGGCCGTAAACGTTTTCACTCCACTATGTATCTAACCTAACCTAACCTAACCTAACCTAACCTAACCTAACCTAGCCTAACCTAACCTCACTCTTGGTTTTTTATCATAAATTAATACTTTCGGTCTATAATTTGTTACACAATTATATGACTCAAGGTTATGTTACACGCGATAAATTGATAGCGATATTATGAGAGCTGTGTATAATTAAGCATGAATAATGTATAGATACTAATGAGTCAGGTATATTGGTCTTGTATATCTGAATAGGTGAACCAGTACAGACAATTATGTATGTTAATTATTTATCCTTTGAGGTCATTTAAGTTAGGTAATAATTGATATCTTAACTATTACAATGCGATTATTAGATATAATTATTTTACACCTGTAATGTTATCGTTTTGTGTAATGTTAGGGATGACTCGGAGCTGCATTTAGTAAGGATAACCTAACCTAACCTAACCTAACCATAAATATACTTCATTAACATATTATCAAATGCAATTAGGTTAAACATTTTGTGTCAATATTTAAGACATCAAAGTATAAATATTTTGTGTTAGGTCCAAGTTTTTTCTTACGAATTCGTGTATTAGTTAGTGAAGCAGTCTTACCTCTTGACTTATATGTTGCGTCTTCACTGAGTCCTCTAACACTTTGCGTCCACTCACCATCGCCCACTCACCATCGCCCACTGACCAGGCGTCCACTCACCAGGCGTCCACTCACCATCGCCCACTGACCAGGCGTCCGAGTCCCTCCCACAATACCTCACGAGTAACATGACGTCAGTAGTTCTCAGGACTTGCAATATCGACAACGTTACAAGTGTTATCAATTATTCCTGTGAAGTTCAGCTTTTGTTGTACACTGTTATCAATTCCCTTCCCATCTCCAAACTTTCTAGCTAAGCGTCGTAGGATTAAAGTTATTGAGAGTTTATTTTGTTTGTCAATATAATAGCAATTTCACACCCACCTGTTTATTTAAAGCTTGGACATTATATTCACATAACGTTTGATAAAAGAACTGGAACAGGGCGGGAAGGTTCACTCGCTTACCACAATGCAGATATAATATTGTGTGGTACTGGAAACTGGAGTACTTGTGTGGTAGAGGTTGTTGCTCTGACGGTGGTGTGGTAGAGTTTGTTACCCTGGCGGTGGTGTGGTGGAAGTTGTTGCTTTGACAGTGGTGTAGTGGGTGGTGTGGTGGGTGGTGGGTGGTGGGTGGTGTGGTAAGTGATGGGGCTCGGTGTGTAAATTTTGACGGTCATCAGATAGTTATAACACCACTTCATAACTGATGGAATAGGAAACATTAATATTGGATAAATTTGACTGTTGTCGTGCTATGTCCTGTACACATGTGCTTATTGTGCAAGGTGTGTGTGTGTGTGTGTGTGTGTGTGTGTGTGTGTGTGTGTGTGTGTGTGTGTGTGTGTGTGTGTGTGTGTGTGTGTGTTGACGATCGCATATACTGGTCACGTCACATATTTGACTCTTGTTATAATGTTTACATGAAATCCAGTTCCCTTCCTCAAATGGTCCATATATAACAGTGTCCAGGTGGTACCTCCTACACACTTCACTAACTCTATACAGGACTCAACTGGAATTAATTCACAGGTGTCTTTACTGTTGACTTTATTCTCATTTGTCATAGTGATATAATAAGTATAGGAAAGAAAACTAATTGAGGATTTTTTATGACATCAGTGGCACTCCCAGGCCATGAAGAACCCAGTAGAGGCATTGAGAGGGCCACATGTGTGTGCCTGGTTAACGAGAGCCTCACTGTAACATCTTAAATAACTAGACATTTATAACACTCAGGCACTGAAGGACCAACATCGTAAATTATAACCAAAAGATTAATAAGAGAAGTGGACAAAACATGTAATGAAAATGAGGAATGAGAGAGAGAATGATAACAAGGGGAGAGTGACAGGGAAAGAGTAGTGTGTTGTCAGAGATACAGTCTTGTGTTTACGTTAGGGTGGGTGTGTGAGACGTTACCACCTGGTCTTAAGAGGAGAAGCTGAGTTTTCCAGGTCCTTCCAACTCCAGATCTCGCGTATCATCCAGAGCAACGGGGGAGTTATTATATAAGGAATTGATCTTTATAATGAATATAATAACAGTTTCTGTAGTTCCAGTGCAACGAATCTTATATGAACGTTAGACTCAGTTTATATATCAGGGAATGTATAATTTAACTCAGAACCATTTGTAATACGTGAGAAAATATTTACATCCTATGTTGTTGTATTCTGGAGCGACGAAGACTTTTATTTTATAGACAGAGGAGAGTTCTTATGTCTGGTTGAACTAGCCATATTAGACAGGGTTATATATAATTTTCCTCTGGTGTTGGATATAATTATTAAGATTATATGTATCGTTATAATTCCTACAATATATGATTTTGTAGTGGTATAAGTTACGGTATTATGGTTCACTGTACACTAAGGTCAAATGGTTGACTTTACTTTAGCTGTACATTTAATAATAATAATACTAATACTAATAATAATAATAATAATAGTAGTAATAATAATAATAATAATAATAATAATAATAATAATAATAATAATAATAATAATAATAATAAGGAAAAACATTGAAGCCTGAAATAAAAGTATAGTGTTTAGTGGTAGTTAGGGGTGTAGACAGTTTGTGGTGGAGACAGGTAGGAGGGGGTGTGAACAGTGTTGTGGTGAGACAGGTAGGAGGGTGTAGACAGTGTTGTGGTGGGACAGGTGGGAGGGGGGTATGAACAGTGTTGTGGTTAGACAGGTAGGTAGGGGTGTAGACAGTGTTGTGGTGGAACCAGGTAGGGTGGGGTGTGAACAGTGTTGTGGTGAGACAGGTAGGTAGGGGTGTAGACAGTGTTGTGGGTGAGACAGGTGGGTGTGGTGTGTGGTGAGACAGGTGAGGAGGTGTGGACAGTGTTGGACAGTGGGTAGGTAGGGGTGTGAACAGTGTTGAGACAGGTAGGTAGGGTGTAGACAGTGTTGTGGTGAGACAGGTGGGAGGGGTGTAGACAGTTGTGGTGAGACAGGTAGGAGGGGGTGTAGACAGTGTAGACAGCGAATAATATTAAGATAAGTAACTAAACCTACATAAATTAAGTCGCCATTTTGTATCCCTACAGAAAGGAGTTGGCGGCGCAGGAGGAGAGATACCAGAAACAAGTGGACCAGTTAACGATCTCTCTGGCGGAGAAACAACAGGAAGTGGCCAACCTGACGCAGACCATCGAGACACTCAAGGGCGCGAAGGAGACACTCGAGGAACTCCAAGAGAAACTGTCACTCCTGCAGCAAGATGTGAGGGATCGGTCTGCTCAGATGGACTGTAAGTGTTGATGCCATAACCTTGTGTCACTCACTATAAACCCTCGTCACTCACTATAGCCCCTCGTCAATTATAGCCCCTCGTCACTCACTATAACCCCTTGTCACTCACTCTGTTTATCACGACCCTTTCTCTTTATCTTTGTTTTCTCTTGGAACTATTTTATTCCCTCCACCTGTATTGACCTTCTTCACTAACTCCTATGTTATTTTTCTAGACATTTTCTCTACTCTCAGACTCTAACTAATATATTGTTATTGTTATTGTAGTTGTTTGTGGTTGTTGTAGTGGTGGTGGTGTTTTTTTTTGCTCCTAAGTGGTGGTAAGAGAGCCATGTTGAAGCATCACCTGTCACTGTGCTGCACCACTAGAGGTAAGCCGCCACACAACTGATGGCTCACATATTTTCCGACAGTCTGTGGCTCGAAGCTATCTCTCAATATCTCAAGGTTCCTCTTTTACAGTTTTCAGTTAGTTTCTTCCGGTGCCTCCGTTTCTGTTCATCCTAACCTCACCTCACCCCCTCACCCCCCACACCTCTCACCCCTCACCCCCCCACCTCACCTCACCCCACCTCCACCCTCACCCCACCTCACCCACACCTCCCCCCACACCCACCTCACCCACCTCACCTCACCCCCTCACCTCCCCCCCACCTCCCCTCCTCACCCCCTCCCACATCCCCCACCTCACCCCACACCTCACCCCACACCTCACCCCACCTCCCCATCTCACCCCCACCCCCACACCTCACCCCCTCCACCTCACCCCCACCTCCACCCCACACCTCCCACCCCCCACCCCACCTCACCCCACCCCCTCACCCCCACCCCCCACACCTCACCTCACCTCACCCCTCACCCCACACCCCCCCCCACCCCCACCCCCACCCCCCCTCCACCACACCCCCCTCCCACCCCACCTCACCTCACCCCACCCCCCTCCCTCACCCCCACCTCACCCCCTCACCCCCACACCTCACCCCATCTCACCCCACCCCTCACCCCACCCCTCCCCCCACACACCTCACCTCAACTACTTAAACAAATTTAACTTTCAATCTTGAACGTGTTTCATTTATCGTATATGTTGTTAGACCGTTCCTGTTCCCCTGTTTATTGTTTTACAGCAGCTGACTGTTTCAACCCCTAGTTTACACACACACACACTGTTTAATCTCTCATGTTACCTTGGTTACAGCTCGAAACCGTGTATAATGACTGTTTTAATTTATTCTCATAGTTTGTCATCACGTTCGTATTAAGTGACAGTTAACAGTCTATTTTATATGTATTAAATAGCACAAAGGAGAGAGATAATTTTGTTGAGTGCAATGCCCCATCGGTCGTCTCCCCTCCGCCTCTCCTCTCACCCCTTCCCCCCCTCCGCCCCCCCTCTCTCCTCTCACCCCTTCCCCTCCTCCGCCCCCTCGTATACCTGTTATTTCAGTGGGGGTGGCAGGTGACCCTAGCACCTCGCTCGACACATTCCCTACTACTCCGGAAAGCTGAGAGATTATACCTAACTTTTTGAGCAAATCCTCCACCTCTCCTGAAGGATTATGGTTTCAATGTTACCGACTACTTATGGGGCAATATTAGAATTATGGAGAGGAAGAGACAGAGAGACAATGACAAACAGAAAAGCAAAAAAAAAAAAAAAAAAAGCAGATATAAAAGATAAAGAAAGAATTAAGTCATAGGTTTTAAATACCACGGGAGAAACAACACAGGTGGATTTATTTGTCATGGTGATTGGCCTATACATCCCCACGCCACACAGACATACCACATAACACACACGAAGACAACAAAGTGTTAGATCAATTAACAAAAAAAAAATGGGGATAAACTCAATACCTAAACAGAAAGTATATATATATGTTTGGAGGAATGTGACAGAGACAGACAGATAACACACAATACTTCCAGCGAGAGACAGACAGACAGACAGACACACACACACACACACACACACACACACACACACACACACACACACACACACACACACACACACACACACACACACACACACACACACACACACACACACACACACATAAATGTGTCCTGAAGCGCTGTCGTTAACACAACAAGACGTTCTCATTACATTCCTCAGTGTACATCTGGTGGCCGATATTGTCATCCTTTACGAGAGCATTCATTTATCTCTCTCTCTCTCTCTTCTCTCTTCTCTCCAACCCACTAACCCCCGAGAGAGTTCGATTACCTCCCTACTTCACTTACCTCACTTACTCACTCCTCCTTACTTCACTTACCTCACTTACTTCACTTACTTCACTTAACCTCGGCCACTGTCTGCCTTGGTACTCTACTGCCAGGTGGATAATTTAGTTACCTGAGAGTCAATACGAACCACCTCTACCTTATCTGTAATTGGGCGGTTCATCCTGTTGTACAGTACATAGGTGTTGGGACAGGTATAGGGACAGGTGTAGCATGGATGAAGGGACAGGTGTAGGATGGATGAAGGGACAGGTGTAGCATGGATGAAGGGATAGGTGTAGGATGGATGAAGGAGGTAGCATGGATGAAGGGACAGGTGTAGCATGGATGAAGGGACAGGTGTAGCATGGATGAAGGAACAGGTGTTGGATGGATGAAGGGACAGGTGTAGCATAGATGAAGGAACAGGTGTAGCATGGACGAAGGAACAAGTGTAGGATGGATGAATGGACAGGTGTGTGGATGAAGGGACAGGTGTGGCATGGATGAAGGAACAGGTGTAGCATGGATGAAGGAACGATGAAGGGACAGGTGTAGCATGGATGAAGGGACAGGTGTAGAATGGATGAAGCAACAGGTGTAGAATGGATGAACGGACAGGTGTAGCATGGTTGAAAGGGCAGGTGTTAATTATATGGGACTTAAATAAAATAAAACTGAACTTACTATGGTTACACTTAGTATGTATGTACCTGGGTGGAGTGTGAGGAGGGAGTGTACTGTAATGTGGTGCGTTTGTGGCTGCCTGGCCTCCAGCGAGAAACTCTACGGGATCGACACGCCACATTTCATTTACTTTCGCCTTCTATAAACAGCCCAAACACCTCTGTGATGTGGTGACCTTTTTATAAATGATATATTTTTGGTAATGATTAAGATAATAATAAATTTCAAAATAAAATATCTTCCAAAGGCTTGTATGCTATTATTTATTAATGTTTTTTTTATTCAGATTTCATATTTTGTTTTACATTTTCTTCAGGATTTATTATTCAAATTATTGTCACTTATGTAAACTGAAATAATAAAACTTAATTATTAAAGAAAATTACAAGTCAATGGAAGAGATTTCTTTGTTTTATCTCAAACAGTAGAAGATATATATTAAATTACTTTGGGGTATATTAATTGATCTTTAGACTAATAACACCACACCTGGACGTTACACACAGCCAGCCACCTTGAAGTCATTACCTCACGTGAGTCTCTTCCGCTTCTCACCTGCTGCTGATGTTCTCTTGCGATACCTTAATTTATTTTAATAATTTTTAGGCTGAGTTTTTCTTTTTTTCATCATTTACGAAGGTTTTTATATATTAGATTTTATTGAAACCTCATTCAGTGTTTTTTTTTTTGACTGACTGTAAACAGGACTTTAAGCTGAGGTGCAATTTGAGGTCATTAGGTCATTCTTGTATCGTACCTGAGATTTTATCAGGTGGGCGGTGTGGGGGCGGGTGTGGTAAGTGGGGGTTTGGGGGAGTGTGTGTGTGGGACCAGGGAAATTTTTATTATTCTGTGACATAGTTTGTTCGACTCTCAACTCTCCTCCTCCGCCTACTCTTCTTCCTCCTCCTCCTCTCCTCCTCCTCCTCCTCCTCCTCCCTCCTCCTCCTCCTCCTCCTCCTCCTCCTCTCCTCCTCCTCCTTGTCATACTTCTCTTTATTTTTATCTTCCTCCTCCATTTCCCTCTGCACCTTCTCTACTCTTCGTCCTTCCCCTGATCGTGTTAGTGCTTCTCCTCCTTTTATTCTTCCTGATACTCCTCCTCTTCCTCCTCCTTGCTTCCTCTACCGCTGCTTCACCACCAGTCCCGGCTCTTTCATTAACAATACAGGTTTTATATTGCCACCCTGGCCATCACAGGGTGGCCATCTGAGGGTGGCCATCACTGTGAGGTGCCATCATCATCACTGAGGGTGGCCATCATCATCACTGAGGGTGGCCATCATCATCACTGAGGGCCCATCATCATCACTGAGGGTGGCCATCATCATCAGGGGTGGCCATCATCACTGTGAGGGTGACCATCATCATCAATAAGTGGGCATCATCATCACTGAGGGTGCATCATCACTGTGAGGGTGACATCATCATCAATAAGGTGCATCATCATCACTGAGGTGCATCATCACTGTGAGGGTGACCATCATCATCTAGGGTGGTCATCATCCTGGGGTGGCATCATCACTGTGAGTGTATCATATCACTGACGGTAGCCACATCATCACTGAGGTGCCCATCATCACTGTGAGGGTGGCCATCATCATCACTGTGAGGGTGGCCATCATCATCAATAAGGGTGGCCATCATCATCACTGAGGGTGGCCATCATCACTGTGAGGGTGGCCATCATCATCACTGAGGGTGACGGTGGCCATCATCATCACTGAGGGTGGCCATCATCACTGTGAGGGTGACCATCATCATCAATAAGGGTGGCCATCATCATCACTGAGGGTGGCCATCATCACTGTGAGGGTGGCCATCATCACTGTGACTGTGGCCATCATCATCCAGGGTGCCCATCATCACTGTGACTGTGGCCATCATCATCATCACTGGGTGAGCCATCATCATTGCCAGCACCACAACACAGCTGCGCCTCGTATGTCTCACTGAGTCTACAAGAAACACTGGGAGCGTCTACTGTGGTGATGTATGGTGGCAAATGCTGTTTTTTAGTTGTAGTGTATCCCTGACACCACCACCACCACCCCTCACCACAGTCCTCGCTCGCTCTCGGCTCTT